AGCTTTTGTTCGGTGCATTCAGTTGAAGAACATCATAAACAGAGAAGTCATTTGAGCTCTCTCAAATACATCTGTTTCGTCACTTTGAGTGTTTGTTTGAATAAAGACGTCCTGGTCCGCTTTGTTGTCTTTTCGGGGCCATGTGCATGCGAAAGTAAAAGGCGGTTTGACCGCACACTTTCAGCTCCAAATGGACAAAACATCAAAAGTGTTGTACTCGGAATGCCTGGTTCCCAGTCGGAATAAAGCGACAAAACTCCTAACCAAACGGACCGTTCTAGGACCACTTGTTCAAGTGCAGTGTTCTGTGAGGCTTATCAGCAATTTCACACCCGAGTAATTAGGAAACCAAAAGAAACACTGTGTTTGGAAAGATGTGTACCCCGCATCAAGCGGACGGGACGACGCAATGCGATGATATTGCATAGACAAAAAGCAACACAAATGGGTGATACTTTTACCATATTATCAAACACAGTTTGGAGACACTAAGATGGCGTAAGTGTACTTTTTCAGTAGTAATTACTTACATCCCACAACATGTGAATAATGCAAATGTATTTCATCCGTAAACCTTGCCCAATATTCCTCTTCAGTTCAGACTTTTGTTTACATTACATGTGAATAATGCAAATGTATTTCATCCGTAAACCTTGCCCAATATTCCTCTTCAGTTCAGACTTTTTTCTGTTTACATTGGGGCGTCTAGGCTGGAGAATTCACAATCGAAAACATTAAGGATCTCAATACACTCGGTTTTGAAATTGAACCACAAAAGGTGAGTGACACCATCATTGTCAATCCAAACCAGCCGATCAAATATCACCCATCATTTGGCAGTGATGCCACGCTGACCATGGCCTTCTTGTTTTATATTTATTTTTGTTCATTCACCCTTATAAGTAGTAGTTTGCTGCATCCTTGAAGCATGAAGTCCGGTTACATGGGTATGACTGAAAATCAAACTTAAAATCAAGCGTGGTCATAGGCTAACTAGACAGCCACCGGAAATTTGTTTGACTGAAGACATCTGCCTTTCCTGTTGGGGTCGTGCTAGGTCCCACGATAATACCATTTTAACTCTCCAACTCAGCGTATTTCTTCATACGACACAGATAATCATCTCTGTCACCAGTGATCAGGTTACAATGATCTCCTTGCAATGAATTTATCAGCAATGGGACCGAAAACCTGGGCATGATCTGAACAAATAGTATGTCTACGGGTGCAGTATGACACTCGCTCACGCATGTAAACATCACGTTACCAAGTTTCCTCCCGGCGCCTACCGCGGTATTGCATAAAAACTGGTAAATTCGCGAAGAATGATCGTAAGCTTGACTAGAAAAGTCCACAACTTAGCAACCATGGCCCAAACCACCGAAAACCTAAAATGGAAATGCTTCTAGCCATATTCTTATCAGCTAACTCATTGATTCCATAGTTGAGCTCGATGCACCAGCATCGACCACACCACCCGTAGATTCTACAATACAGCAAGACTGAGTTAAAAGACCGTTCGATAGGCTTCATCGAGGTTGAGTGAAGGTGACAGGCTGACACAAACTGAGCTCCGGATTGGGAGAGTTTCGCATGGTTAGCAAAATCTCTCAAGTTCAAAAGAGTTCACTGCGGAGTACCCTCGGTTTTCTTGAGGATCTTGGCTCTGTCGTAACGTGGGCACTGCAAATTTGCGTCACATCGGCTGAAGGTATGTATACAATGCGACAATAAAATGGTATGTATTCTACCCAGACCCATAACTGGCGTCAGGGTGCATGACGCCTCTTATCTCAATAGAAAAAATAGTGCTTTCCACTGGGTATAGCCTCATTAACAATCAAACACCAACCAGTTTGGCTTCGTTTTTGAAATTATCCTCAAATCGGCGTGAACCATTTGATGTGAAACTGTCGTCGCGGATAGTTTAGCCCCGTAAATCAGAATTCTTGTAGGTAAATGCTTTGAGTTGGGTAGTTCACTAATTACTAATTCTATGCATCGCGAAGGATACCACATCATATTCTTGAACATTGTCAATATGGCAGTTGTCATGTAAAACCCATCGACGGTGTTTCCGGGGGGTATCATATCGGCGGGAATACCCAGACAGCCTCAGAGTACGATTCAAAGGGTTAACAAATCAATCTAAAGCCTTTCTTGCTGTCCACCAAACACTCGTAAGAAGTGTCTAAGTCAAACGGCACGGAATATGGGTCCTCTGAAATAATCGGATCCAGCTAGGAAACAGACAATTTAAAACCTGCTAAATTGGGAGAATGTCTGTAGTAACTGTATTTTCCTCAGCTTAGTTCTCGGTCTGAACCTCCCAAGCTAGTGTTCACATCAAAACAACCACCAAAGGTTCACAAGATCTATTAACGCCCAAAACGAAGTCAAGAACAGTTGTACAGCGCTTCGTATATATAGCATAAGCGGTTATAACTTTCTGGATTTTCTGACGCGTTCTGGATGCGGCATTGGCAACCGGTATTTGGCCAAACCTCGGTCATGATTGGCCGTTGGGTCCAGATTGTTGACCAATCAGATCTCGTCTTGATGCCGGACCGGCAAGCATCCCGAATTCTGGGCCAAGTTCGAGCGGGCCAGGCTTCTCGGCCCTAGCAGCGCCTAAAGACGTGCGGTATAGTGGGATCCGCGTGGATTCCTGCCTAACAATGTCCGAGAAAAGTTTCTCTGTGGAAGAAATCTAAAAAATACATGGTCTGAATTATTTGACTAAACGCCTTCCCTTCAAAAAACACTGCAGTGAGTACATTCTAAGACGTCGTCTGGATACCGTCCGACATCCGAGGACCTATGGTTGGAATCCCATAGCAACAGTGACGTATTTCTCTCCGTCTCAACTAATTATTCAGTCGCATTATCTGTAATTGGCGCTACTTCTGTTTGAGGTGGCCCAGCGTCTGCTTATACCTGCGTATTTAAAGCCACTTTATCAGTCAACTAAGGTTTAGTGAATCAAAAGTCA